CTCCAGAAACAGGGTTGGCCACCACTGGCTTAGACCCTTTACTCATCTGGGGTCACCACAGCGGAATGAACCGCCAACTTATCCAGCATATGTTTTACACAGCGGATGCCCTTCCAGCTGCCACCAAGTACTGGGAAACATCCATACACACTCATGCACTACAGGATAATTTAGCTTACCCAGTTCACCTGTACTGCATGTCTTTGGACACCAACACAAGGAGAACATCTGGGTGTTCACATTGATAGCTTGCTGTCCTTGGGTCCACATATAACCAGTATTTGTTTTCGCGTGCAGCAGTGATTATATATATATATTTTTAAAGAGTTTTAAAGATTTTGGGGTACAGCAAAAAGTTCTCTTTATATTTTACAAAGCTGTTATTGGAAGCATTATGCGCTTTGGATTTACTGTGTGGTATGGAAGCATTACAATTCAATCTAAAGCTAAGCTGAAGGGCTGGTGAAGACAGCCATGAGAATCATAGGGAAAAGGGAATGCCTAACCTTAGAATCTCTCTATGAGCAATCAGTTCATGACAAAGGTATTAGCTCCTCACACAGTTCATTTTGTGAGTACGAGTTACTGCCTTCTGGCTGACTATACAGGTTGCCCGTGTGCATTGTTTTAAGAATTTTTTTCTTTTTACCAACATCAATTTTATTTTGATGTAATATTTTTGTTGTTGATCGAATGTTTGAGTTGATTTGTGTTTTTGATGTCTGTTTTTTGTTGTGTATGCAAATGTGGGCCTAGAGTCTAAGCCACATTTACCCACTGGGGACAATAAAGTGTAAACAAACATGCAAACTCCTCACAGAACATACCTACTGACCCAGCTGGGACTCGAACCAGCGACCTTCTTGATGTGAGGTGACAGTGCTAACCACTGAGCCATCGTGTGTTTTGACAAATGACCAGATCAATGAAAATTTATAGTAATATTTAAAAATATTACGTATGCTGTAACCCGGGATGTGACGCTGACAACTGAGTTCGAGTCCACATGCAGGTTTGAGGATGTTCAGGAAAGCAATGGTCGAAATAACAGGAGAGAGGTCGAAAGGCAGGCGGCAGACAGGGAGAACTAGACAACAAGGGGAGGGTTAAAAAAAAAACAAAGTGTGGTGAAAAAAACTGGAGTGTGTGTGTGTGTGTGTGTGTGTGTGTTGCTTAAATGGTCACACTTTACAATAAGGTTCATTAGTTAATGTTAATTAACGCATGAACAAACAATGAACAATACATTTACTACAGTATTTGTTCATGTTAACAAACGTTAGTTAATGAAAATACAGTTGTTCATTGTTAGTTCATGTTAACTCATGGTGCATTAACTAATGTTAACAAGCATGGACTTGAATGTTAATAATGCATTAGTAAATGTTCAATTATGATTAATAAATGCTGTACATGTGTTGTTCATGATTAGTTCATGTTAGTAAATGCATTAACTAATGAACCTTATTGTAAAGTGTTACCGCTTAAATAGAGTGTGTAATATAATTTGTAAATAATGTGTGCTTTAATTTTGGTTGATAACACTGATGGTTGATAAATAATCATGGATAGTAGATAGTGTGTGTGTTTTCTTCAGTTATTTTAAAATCAAGTAATGCACCCTTCATTCAAAACTCTGTCACTTGTAATATGTGAACATATTTACTGTACAACACTTGTCAGTGAACTGTGAGGGCAAAAAATAAAATACAATCATTCATTAATCGTAATCAAGTTAAAATGTTCAATTAATTACAATTGCCAAGCCTTAAAACTAATCATCAAAAGCCTTGCGTTTATAAGAAAATGTCTACAGGGGGAAAAAAAGCACCGCTCACTGCTCATCACTGCTCATTTCTTCCAATCTTAAAATAGACTGACATTCTGAAAATCCGAAACGGACCTCATTATTCACACAATACCCTCCGATCTGAAAGAAGTTTGCAAAGAAGTCTAATAAAATGACCACAGTGTACTTTATTAAATGAATTTGGTACTTTGTGTTGCATTAGAATCAAATAAAAATTTACAAAAATCCAATATGTACAAAAATGTAACGTTCTTTTTGTTGTCAACTCTTCAATTTACAATAAAATCAGATAACAGATTTGATGCATTTTACGCACTTCAGACTTTCATCACACAATACAACTTACTTAAGAGACCAATAATAAACAGTTTTTTTTTTTTTTTTGTTGCTTTTTTATGTCATTTATTACATCACATACACCACACTAGTTTTATCAGTATTATGTAATATGTAACTGCCAATCTCTAGTCAATAGACACCCTTCACGATCAGGACTCATAGAGGAATGTTCTTTTACAACATGTACATTTGCATACATTTATTTACAGTTAAATAGCCTTTTGCAAGTCACTATGGATCTTCCGTTGTAAGTAGAACTGAAATACCAGTAAAGTCTGTACAACATTTCTCAACTGAACACCACCAACTCACTCATTCAATTACTGTGCTTGTACTAATACCGTGCTTTATAAATAACCACCGATTATCATTTATCTAAATGCTTTTTTTTTTGTTTCCCCCTCCATCTATGGCATTCTAGTTTATCTACGCGTCTATGTCTAAAGGTGAGGGAGAATCGTTGATTTGTTTAGTCAACAAAAAAGTTTTGTGAAACAAGCGCCATTGTTCATTCCCGCTCTCCGAGTCATTCGTTTCACAATTCGCTATCGTGTAACAGTACGGCCCGTGACAATTTAAGTCGTCATTTTGATTGTTTGTCTGCATAAGCAAATTTATTCATTCAGTCCGCTTTACGTTTTTGTCCGCTTGCAGTATAAGCACAGTAAACATGTCGATCTATAATCATACTAGCATGACTAAAAGAAACTAAAAGAAAGTCACTTACGAATAATGAATCCACGAAAAGGCGAGCGTCGTTTAAGGCAAATAAAACAGAATCAGCTTGCATGAATTGAATATTCTCCTGCTGTGAAGAGTTGTAAAATAAGTCCTGCTGTTGAGTTCGGCTTTACTGATGCACCGGTAATAAACAGAACCGCCTTCAACTCCATCCCAAAAAAGTCCTTCGCTTCGGACACGACAACAGCTAGAGCTGAGATGGTCTGTTTAAAGTACTGCTTTGAGGTAGGTTACAGGTATGAATTAAAGTCTAACCAGTGTGAAGGAATGGTTGACTATGATATCTGAGGGTTTGTTGACAAAACCCAAATATAAAAATAAAGCTGGAAGTGCAAAACAAAGTTAGCTGAAAAATTATGATTAGCTTAAATGTTATCGCCAATGTACCTAACAAAAAATAACCCAGCAGGCACAGTATGTCAACATGATGTCAGATTGAGGTTGGACCCTAATGCTGTGGGGATGTTGCATTTTGCTTGGAAATGAAAATCGGGTTGACGTCAATGTCCAACTTGTAACCTAAAATCAACCAACATCTAATGATGTTACGGCTTGATGTTGTGTGGAGGTTACTACAATGACGTCTATCAGATTTTGGTTGCAATACCAGATGATTAAATGTCAGCATTTGACGTCAATATGACGTTGGTTTAAGATATTGGCTCGATGTTGGATTTTGGTCACTTTCCAACACAACCTAAAATCATTTGACATCATTATTGGATGTCAAAAAAACGTCCCAAGACTCTGGCTAGACATTGAATTTTGGTCACCTGATGTCACAACCTAAATCTAACCTAATATTAACGTCTTATAATTTTGTGTGCCTGCTGGGAACCATATAGTCGTATTTTGGCGCATTGATAACAATTTGTATAATCAGTTTTACTACAAATACCATAGTTATAAATAATAACGATACTTTAAACATGGCGTTTGTAGTATAATAGCTTTCTACATGAATAGCTTTCAGTTCTTGGTGTTCCCTGCCAGATTCAAGTCGACATTAAATTTTTTATCCCCTATTTTTTTTTTTTGGTTGTTTTTTTTATGCTATGCTATGTGTGTATACATATGTTAATGTTATAGCTCATATTTCATTCATTCATTGAATTTATCAAATTTAATAGCATTTTTGTAATATTGCAAATTTTAATATAAACTTAGAGTGAAAATGATGGACGATTATTATTTTCAGTCAACAAGCAATGCATAGAACCAAGTCTCACATTTCTACTTTTACTCCCTCTTTGCTTATTGGGTACACTGATGGACGTCACAGTTTCGTAAGAAAAGATCTGTCACTGCTGTTTCAGTCATTTCTATAATCTTGCAATTATAACATTCTCCAACCGTTGGTCCTTTTGGGGAAAGATCTCGATTCGCTCCAAATGCCCTGCATCAAAGTGTTTAAAATTCATGTCATATTTCTTTTTTAAATAAAAAATGACTGAGGCCTCACATCTGAAAAATGGCTGGCTAAAGATGAATGTCACCAAACTACCAAACTCCACTGACAGTCGCCTTTAGGATATTCCTCTTAATGAAATGAGTCAAAACGCAGTATGCAATGTGCTTAGGTTATCACTGAATAAATATATATATA